TATGAAGCAGGCTCAACAGGGTTGACTACTAAGGGAGCAGCACCATATACATTCGAGACACCGTCATAATACTGTGGTAGATGGGAGACAGCTACCTGACCTCCCTCGGGATTTGTGTAGAGACTAGCACCAGAAAGTTCTGTGTTTGTTTGCCTATAGTATTCGAGACTACTGCCAGGATATGATAGATTGTACTGTTCAGTGTAAGTAAAAGGTTGTCCAAACTCTAACTGAGATGGTGGGGGGACTGAGGTTTCAGGTGGCGGGGGAGGAGGCTCGACATCTGGCGGTGGGGGAGGAAAAGGTTCATCATCAGGCGGCGGGGGAGGAATCCAATCATCGTCAGGAGGAGGAGGTGGAACACTAAATATTTGCCCCGGCATTGAAAGTTCCTGGTCAGCCAGCAGATTATGCAAATTTAGTTGCTCTGATGGGAGGAGAGATTCAGCACCTGATGCATCTTGTATAGGTGGATTTGCTGAAGCAACTGCATCTTCAACTTCCATGTCCACATCCATGTCTACTTCCCCAGAATGAAGCACAGTTTTGGGGGTTAATTCACTATGAATTGCAAGTCCATTGATTTCACTTTTTCCTCCTGAACCATCCCCTGAATGTGAAGTAAGATGTCCACTTGAGGGAACACTTCCAGCAGTAAAGGCACCGTCACCATAAGATTTAAAATACGAGTCATGGGCAGCATATTCAGAAGCTTGAGGAACTACGATAGGAAATAATGGCTTCTTTTCACTAGAAACAACTGCATCACCAATGCCTTCAAACGATTGATTTGTGCCCTCAACTTCACTTGTCAGTGAAGAATTATATAGTGTAATAACATCATCTATAGCCGCTTCAAGATGTTCTAGTTGACCTTTAGAGTGCAACCAAAAGGGAAGGAGCAATGACCCATGATTTGTTAATGCCTTGATATCAGCAAGCCTAATCTCAACTTCCAATGCATATTTTGATATAAGATCATGTGCTTGTAGATGGCAGCTTAAACTGTTTTAAGAGAAGGATCAGCAATGAACAAACGCATGGGAATAGCAAATAAATAGAGAATGCAATAAAATTCATGAGATGCTTTATATATAGTTTATAGCACAGAAAATTACAAAGTAAAGATAATCATTATGGAGATAAAGACGAGAAAAATGGGGACATCTATACCCTTTCGCAGAGTTCAATCGCTCCAACAAGCTTTCACAGTGCTTCACCAGCTGAGAAGAAAGGTCGGTCCCAGTTTCACATTCCTCAGAAAGTGTTCCATGATTTATTTTGGTACTTAAGGCAATCTCATTGCCCAAAGAATTATCAGCAAGCAACGAAGTTTCATTATTTTGATCAGCATCTTCATTTCCTTTTTCTTCATTAACAGAATCACCATTACATCCTTCACCATATCCTTGCATTTTTGCCACTTGCTCGCTAACACAACCTGTTTTGCGATTGGTATCAGAGCCACCATTAAGTTGCCCACTGGTGGAATCGCCATGTTCCTTGTCCAAAGGTATAATTGAACCAGATGTGCCCTCTAAACCATTGCTTTTTTCTTCAGTATCAGCAGCAGCTTTCTCTAAACAACTCAAATCAGTTACCTGGGCCAAATCATCAGGTACTTCCCACGAAGTTTCACCGGTTGTAATGTTCCAGTAATAATATTGATTACTCTCTTCATGCAACACGACCTTCCAGCCTGTACTCGCATCTCCAACAACTTGCACATCAGACACTACAGGATATGTAACTTCTTCGGCTGGATTTGTTCCTTTGTCCAAATCACCAGAATCATTTATTATCTCACTACCTTTCCTGAGTTTCTGCAAAGGATTCTGAGAAGTAGAATCATTATCTATCACAAGAACAGAAGGCTCATTCCCATCGTTGTTTCCTACATCTCCAATTTCTTTCCCAGCAGCATTCTTTGTCTGAGGACAAGAAAGAACATAAATCTAATTCAGCTAGAAAAAGTAAATCACGAGACACCTACTAATGGTTCTCATACGAGAAAAAACCTGGCTGTCGCCAGATTTTGCAACCAGTGAGACCATGTCTCAGAAAAAAAACTTATGAAAACTAAAAGCATAAGAGTTATGATGAGCTTGGATGCAACCAATCTACATAGAATGGAGCAACAGTGATGCAGAAAGCCTATAGAATCAAGATCCGAATAAAACAGCATTTGAGAAGATGAAATGAGGCAGATTAAGAAAATCTAAGAAACAGAAATCAACAGAAATACATATCAAGTTGTCCCAATACACACTAAGAGCTGGATTGAGCATTGCTTTCGCTCACTGGCTCTAGAGCACAACAATTGCTATTTAAAACCAGTGTTCTAAAAAATGCACTCACCTTTATTTTTTATTTTTATTTTTCCTTTTTTCTATAAACCTTTTATATTTTATTTTAGCTTATTAACTTTTTTATTTTTTTCCTTTTTTTAAAAAGGCTTTCATTTGACTTTAATTTCAAATTTTTAAATAACTTTATCTGCACAAAAGTCAAAAACGACATTATCCAATGAAGATTTAGATGAGATTTAAGCTATGGTACTATCTATATCATGTCCATGCCCCTGTTTGGTACCGATTAAAATTTGAATTTTACTCTAAAAGTCAAAATCAATAGTTAATTTTAACCACATATTTTATGGTCCCACAACTTTTCAACCACACATTTCATCAAATTCAATCATAATATACTAAAAATTTGATTTTAATCACAACCAAACACGAGCTATGTAATTATGATTTTTAGCATTATCGTATGGTAGAAAACTTGAAAATTGTATAACTGACTAATTGTATGAATTATTAAGTAAATATAGTATTTTATAATTTTAGATGTTTGGTATGAATTATTTTAATTATTATATGATTTTTAAAATGATTCAAGTATTTAAAATAATAATAAAAATAAGTAACGCTTTTTTATGGCCTATGCTCGTAAAAGTTTGAAGCTTGACGTCCACACCTAACCCCATTTTACGCTTTTTAGAACACTGTTAAAACACATTATTCCAGAAAAATAGGTAATACTTATGCAAATCACCTGGCCATCAGTGTCAACAGATGGGTCCTCAGAAAGTGCTCGATCTCGTCCTTCATTTGATTCCTCATCCAATTCTTCATCACTATACTGCTCAAGAAGCAGAAGAGGATTCCCCGGCCGTTGTCCTGTAAACAAATTCTAGACTGTCAAAGGCCTACAAAAAGAACAATATGAAATCAACTTGTAACAATTAACATCTCTTTAATAGAAAGAAAAACACGTGCAGTTCAGCGTGAACTATTCAAAAAGCAGTCCAAAAGTAAAATAAGATAGTCAATAAATCAAATAATAATCAAGATAATAGTATTCTGCATAACCCATTCTACCTGCAACAGAAATTGAAAACCATCAGTACGCTAAAAGGCAAAACAAGTCAAAGACATACGAACCAATGGGCAAAAATTCCTTGTTGAGATCTCCAAACTTCCATTGATACCACCAAGAAGGGGATGATAGGTTGAAAGTTTACATAATAATTCACTGTGGCAGGGGCTGATGTAATCTGATTACCAATTGATTGTCCCCAATACCATAGCCACCCTACAATCTGAAAACAAAATCTTTCGGGGGTGCAAATAACATGTCTTGTGCAAAGAAAAGCAATAATTTCCACCAATATTTATGCGGTCACATCATGTCTTCTCTACAAAGCAGTCCTTTTTGAAGAAAACTGACGGAACCCACCTGAAGATGATGGTGAATTGGGTAACCCAGCATGATTTTCAGAATCACTATACTCTCCAACTTTATCCTGGGCAGAGGAGGCACCCGAGTCTCCTAAGACAAAACAAGAACAACATACAATGTTAAGACCAAATTAGACATAACCATACAGATATTGGGCAATTTCCTCACCGAAGGGGAATTATCACAGAAGATACAAATATCAGATAATTGAAGTTTCACGGATCTTGGAACTTAGTGTGCGACATTCAGAAAGTAACTCAATGGGGAATCTTTATACAATCCAATTATTAGCAGAATTAACGATAGTATAAAGTATTAGTTTCCAGAAAAAGCTCCACAAAAAAAGAGTTCCAACGTAATTCACAAGGTACTATCATTTAGTTCTAACTTCAATGAGCAGAACAAATAGCCAAAAAAATAAAAGCCTAAGGTTCATAATACCAACTTCTTTGCCAATCGAAAATAACTTTATCATCTTTAACAAACCAGAAAAGGTCAAAAACGTAAAATTGAAAAGATTTGAACTTTGAATATATTTCCTTACATGCTACAAATATATGCATGCATATTCATATACATATACTATTTAAACAATAATTACCAGAGGGTTCCGCGAACAGATCCAGTTTAACTCTACGACCAGCGGTACTCATGGCCGCGAGTCGACGCTCCTTCCTCCTCCCCATCGATTATTGATTTGATTTTGAGATATCGATAGGAAAAGATTGGTCAAGTGTGTACGCAATCTAAGAATCTTTTGAATTATCGAAGCCCTAGAGAGCTCCGGGAAGAACAGGAACCCGATTATGAATTTTCATTTTGGGGCTTCTATATAATTGAGGAGGTTGCGAGCAATTTGATTGGATCAAATGGTTAAACGAGTTGAGGTCCATCTTTGGAGGCCCAATGATACGAAAATCCATATGAGAAAATTAGTAGAAGGGGTACTTACCAAAAAGGAAAATTAGGCCCCATACGTTAAGAAAGAAACTAAATTGAAAAATACCTTTTTAAAACTAATTAAACAATTCATCCCGTAAATAATACGTTCTAAACCTAAAACCCAATCTTCATTCAGCATTAACACTCTCCTCAACAAGGGGTTTTAATTTTCATCTTCTCCGGCATTGCTCGGAACATCACCACAAATGAATTGGCAAATGTTAAACGCTATGGATATCTTCGCGGTCCAGATGGGAGGTTCCGCAACCCATATAATCACGGGTGCCAGAAAAATTGCTCGAATTTCTTCATAAATGGATACACAGATAACGAGATTGCTTGGCCTCCTTCATAACAGGTTGCGAGGTAGTACATACATATTCTTGCAAGACAATGTAGAATCCCTTGTGTTTGGGAATCTTATTGCTCACGGATATATGTTGTAATATATAGTGTATGCTTAGATTTGTTATCAATGGAATCTTCATCTCTCAGCATTCTCTTGTTAATATATATACATGTTTTCCCACGATTTTCTCCTATATCTAGTGCCGTCTTTAGTTTTTCTGAATTAGACTTGAACTCTGCATACGAAACCGGTAGTTTTTCATAATTAAATGATTGTACTTGAGACCCGTCTTGCTTGAGATTGGAGAAATACTTGCACTACAGATGTATAATTGACTTGTATTCTGTTTTAACTGTTACGTGAATGCGAATTTTGATGATGGATTTTGCGTGTTCAAATCGTTCAAGAAGATAAGTTTACTTTTGGTTATTCCTAATCATGACACGATGCACCACCAGACAACAGCAGAACGAGAGGCTCCATAAAAATCTGGAAATTAGAGTGAGAACTGAGGGTTGGATGAGAAGAAAGTTGTGAATGAATGGTTTGTCACTTTTTCGATTGGTGTTTGTCACTTTTTTAAATGCTTTCGATTCGTGTTTTATCACTTTTTCGAATGTTTGTAATTTTTTTTGAACTTTTGTCACTTTTTTGAATGTTTTGTCACTTTTTTTTAGTAACAAACATCACTTTTTAATTAGCATGTGGATTGGTGCTATTTTGATATTTGTCACTTTTTTTTTTTGGTCACTTTTTTTTAGTTTGTCACTTTTTTTAAAAAAAGTAAAAAAGTGACAATTTTTATAAAAAAAAAAGCATTGTGTCACTTTTTCATTTTACCCAGTATTTTTTACTTTCTAAAAACCTTTCTAGTAAATCAACATCTGTAGAATGGTTTTGGTAATCAAGATTTTTGAAAAGAGAAGCACTTATTTTTGTTTTCTAGCAATTTTGATTGAAGTTTGGTTGGAAATTAGAGAGAGAATTGGGGATTGGATGAGAAGAAGAGTTTTGAATGAATGGTTTGTCACTTTTTCGGTTGTTTGCAGTTTTTTTAAAACTTGTCACTTTTTGAACGTTTTGTCACTTTTTTTTAATTCAAGTCATTTTTTAGTGTTTGTGACTTTTTTCTATCACATTTTTTATTGTCACTTTTTTTTAGTAACAAACATCATTTTTTAATCAGCATGTGGATTTGTGCTATTTTGGTATTTATCACTTTTTTTATTTTTTTCATCTTTTTTGAGTTTGTGTCATTTTTTTAAAAAAAGGTAAAAAGTGACAATTTTTATATAAAAAAGTGACATT